CAGAAAGCTTTCGATTTCTCTATCATGTTTTTTCTGGATTTTTGGCATGAAAACTTTCTAGAGAGGTTGCTTATTTCTGAACTTCATACCTGCATTGTTGCGTCATGTTTCATGATCGGTCTTCTTCCCAGTTAACCTCTGTCCATGGGAGGCCGTTCTTCTGAACTTCGGTGGGTGTCTAATACCTCGCCTTACCGAAGAAAACATTTTCAAAGAGCACGATGTTTTTGGAGAGATGCCACATTCTTTGTGCAGATTTCTCCTTACTAAAAGTATGTCATTTGCGGAGGCGGAAGATAGTGATAGGCTAGTAGGACCTGGGTTATTTGTTAACGTATACGTATTCCGTAGTCGCGACAAAGTGACACCGATTAATTACAGTACGGTGACTATGGTCTTATTCAGAAATGATCCACTCTTAATGTGTTTGCCATTTGCGAGTTGACAAGCAGTATTTATTCAACAGGACAATAGAATAGTGTTCAGGTAGGCATTTGGGCTAAATTGTGGACTTTTCATGTTATGTTTCTCGCTCTTCACTACTGAAGGGGCTGATGTGCAAAGTTACGTTTATATGGATAGCACACTTCAGAAGAAGGCGATTAGAGCGTCGGTGGCACAGTTGTTAGGGCTCTCGCCGACCATGAACATGGTCCGGGATTCGATCCCCTGCCGATGCACACCTGATATCTACGGTCGGCCAGCAAAATTTGGGCTAACGATATCGCATGCTGACAATTCGATACCTTTGCTAAAAGTACGAGGTGGAATCAAACTGTAGCAAAAAATTTAAAAAAATAGGTGAACATTCGGCTTCAATATGTCATCCAATATCATTTTACGAGCTAGTATAAACCAATTTGATTTCTTTGTGCTCGCTTCTTGATTGTGAGGTAGAGGTTCCTGATCTTTGGTAAACGTCTGCGTAGCTCGTCCCGCCACTCGACTGTCGTAGCTTTGGTTGTCTCCAAAAGGAGTAGTGCGGGGATTAATTATATGTGGTTTGTAATATGAAGTGTGTTAAGACTGTTACTACTGTGAATGGAGTTGATCCTTTCACCAGTTGGTCCTTCGGTATCGTCGTCAACAGAAAAGAGATAATAATAGATATAATTAGTGAAGGTATTCAGACTAACAGATAGAAAAAGAATAAGAAAACGTAACAACAGTCAGCCAACCGGTATATATATATACCAGTAATAATAATAATAATAATAATAGGTGTAGTTAAAGCTGTCAGGAGAGTAAGACCGAAGAGAATGTGAAGAATTAAAACGACCAGTTTAATTGTCTACCTTCGAATGGTGTATGCGATTTTAAGGGGATGGGCCATTTGGATGAAGTCCTTGTGTCGCTGTGTGGTTGTCCAGCCTTCGCTTAAAGGCGTCCACAGATTGTGCCATAGCTACATCTTCCGGTAAGGAATTCCAGGGACGGCAAACCCGCAGGGAAAAGAAGTAGGAGCGCACCCGGGTCCTTGCCCTCTGATGAGCTATCCTTCTAGGATTTCCACGAGGGAGCCTATACCTACTCAATGGCAGAACACCTTTGTTTGGGTGAATTTGGTCATTTGTTATATTGTAGACAGTAGTTAAATCCCCCCTAAGACGACGGTAACTAAGTGTGAATAGGCCTAATTTCTTCAGCCTTTCATCATATGGTTTATTTCGGGGACCAACCACTCCTTTTGTTGCCCGTCGTTGGACACTTTCCAAAAGGTTGGCGTCTCTTCTAAGCAGTGGGGTGCAATGATATTATGCACTTCAAGATGCGATCTGACGTATGTTTTATACAACCTTAGAAAGAGCTCAGGAGTGAGTGCACCTAATTGTCTATGTGTAAAGTGTATGACCGCATATGCCCTCGCTACATCCCCCGTGTAATTCACGCTTGTGTCCATTTTCTCCGTTAGAACTAGACCTAATTCACGTTCCGACGTTGTGCTTTCAGGTTGAAAGTCATGCCACTGGTTACCGCCCAGTCTTCCAGAAGCCTTAGATTTGCCTGCAGTCTATCTGAGTCCTCCGGACACTTTATCGCCCTCCATATCTTTACGTCATCAGCGTATAGAAGAGTCGGGCAGCTTAGACGGCATGGTAAATCAATGATAAAAATCAAGAACATCAGTGGTCCCAGGATAGAACCCTGCGACACTCCTGATGACGAGCTGTGCCAAGATGATCGGACTCGATTGACCTTGGTGCAAAATTGCCTTTGAGTTAGGTAGTCCCTCAACCATGACAGAAGTGGTTTACCTAGACCTACCTGGCTTATTTTGTGTAGGAGAAGGTCATGGTGAATAGTGTCAAATGCCTTCTCAAAATCTAGAAAGATCACATGGACTGGAGCATTCATATCCCAGCATGATGTCCAGTCGTCCCAAGCTGATAATAAGTTAGTGACGCAGGATCGCCCTTTCCTGAAACCGTGTTGGGCTTCATGGAGTATTTTAGACCTATCCAGATATTCCCTGATGTGATCATCAATAATACTTTCCAGTGCTTTCGATACCACTAGGAGTAGAGCTACTGGTCTATAACTGGTGGGATTTTGCCTATCCCCACCCTTGAAGATAGGAAAAAGGATGCTTGTTTTCGATTCCTTTGGCGGTTTCCCTGATTCCATGGAGTGTTGGAACAAGTCGCGTAAGGGCCTACAGAGAGCTTCGGCGCACTGTTTCAGAACAGATGGCCTGATGTCATCACAAGCTGGGGACTTTCCGGGTATGAGTCGCTGCAGCTTTCCCAGTACTATTGCAGGGTTTATTTGGGGGGGGGTGGCTGTTTGGTCTTCCTCCTATGAGATAGTGATGCCACCATTTTGGTCCGTAACGGTAATACCCACATTGCTGTTTAGCTGTTTGGCGAAGACTAAACTAAATGTTTCAGCCATCTCCAGACTAGTGAGATATTGACCGTTTTGGCCTACTAGGGCGCACGCCCCCTGGTTGGTTGGTTTCCTTTCCGACATGAATCGGTACAAATTCTTGGGGTTTGCCAGGAGTATTTTGGCAAGGTTAGCCTGGAATGACCTCCTGTCCCTCCTGACTCTTGCATTGCACTTGTTCCTGAGTTCCAGGTATGCATCATGGTCGATCTGGCTTTTAGATACGCGCCACGTAAACCAAGCCTTCCGCTATGCCTGCAGAATACGCGGCGTGCCTCTCTTTAATCATGATGACTTTCTTTTGGGCTGTGTTGTGACGGTATTCGAGATTACTGTATGAATAATCTTTTTTACCGCTTCCCAGTGTTCATCCACAGACGGCTCATCCCACGCTAAGGGCCAGTCTGCGCCGGACAAGAGCCTCCGCATTTCAGCATAGTCAGTCATGCTGTAACACAGACATGGTTGCGTAGCGTCCCACTGCAAACGCTCACGGAGAACGAGGTCGAAACCTATGACTGCATGGTCACTACTTCCTAGAGGAGTCATGATCTGGACCTTTTCGACAAGAAGTTGGTCACTAGTTAGAATGTAGTCTAGTTTTGATGACTTTCCACTAGGGCCCCACCTAGTGTCGTCTCCAACGTTCTCAGTCAGTCCCGTGTTCCGAATAGCTTGCAGTAGATTTCGGCCGAATTTTCCCTTAGCATATCCCGAGCCAAGGTTCAGTGATGGGGCATTGAAATCTGCAGCAATGGTGATTTGGTCATAGCCCAAGCCTCGTATCCCTGTGATAGTGCTGAGCAGTAGCTGATTGTGCTCTGCTCCACAGGTGGGAGATCGGTAGATGCCACCAAGTAAATGCTTGGTGTGGCCTACGGTGAAATGACACCATATGGAGTCTGGGAGTTCAATAAGTGGTGGGTCCGTTGCGCACACGCATTTAAGTAGCCTATCATAGTATATGGCAACTCCCCCTCCTTCCTTATTATCCCTGTCTCTCCTGACCAAAACCATATCACCTATACTGATTTCATTATCGGCGATAGTGGGGGTTAGCCATGTTTCGGTGAGAATGATCATTTTCAGTTGTAGGTGTGCTTGGAAATTTCGGAGTTCACCTATTTTTCCTCTCAGCTCCCTCACATTGCTATATAGGCAGCTGACAGTGAGTCTTACAACCTCAGCGTGTTGTGGGGTAGTTGACGTGAAGCTGTCTGCTGGTAGGGGACTTAATGTTGGGACTAGTTGGCTAGTTCCGATGGAACCGGCCAGTTGTGGTTTTTTCCCTTGGATTTAGGCAGGACACTTGGGTGGCACAGACTGTTATTCTCAGAACTGCATCGCTCTAGTGTCACTGAAGCTTGAGGACGTATTAAGGCCTCCTTAGGGTTCGAGGTCTGCTTTCGCAGCATCGGATGTGTCCTCCCAATTTTCCCTTGATCTCATACCACCGTTGAAGTGCTATGGCCAACTGCTCTGGGGAGTTGAATGTGACACTTAGCAGCCTTGGGGAGCTAATCAGTGTGAGATGAGCGGGGCGAGGTAGTCGGTAAACGGATATGGCTCCAGAAGCGCCAAGGGCCATCTGAGACGACAGCCATCTCCACTGCTGTACGTCATGCATGTGTTTTTCACAGGCAGTACCCGTTTCCAGCTCCGGAACACCGTGTACCACCATAGAGGTAGAAGGCAAAAGTTCCAGTGACTCCCTCGCCATTTATCTGACAGCCCATGGTCCGTCTTGTCTCACCCTTATGTTAGAGCTTCTGTCGATAGCTAGTACCTGAGCCATCAATAGTGCCTTTTCGGCCTCTTCGGCAGAGTCCAGTGTAACCCGTAATGGGGGTGGCTTACCTTGAGGAGTGTGGACACCCCTGTACAGCCTGCACAATTTCACTGAACTAATATTCAGACCTACTTTATTTGAAAATATTCTGGTTTCTCATTTGAATGATTCACAATAAATAGCAGCTAAAGTGTTTGAATATGAAGTCTTTGAAGCCACTGTTTCTTGCTCAAATGTGAATGCAGAAATATATTTTTCTGGTTTCTTACATTGTGACTTTGTTTATACTACTTAACGTTTTAAAGTTAGGTCACTAATTTCATAACGCGACATTATGAAAATCGCGGTTATTTAACAGAAAGTGCTGGTTACCTTCAGTCTTTCTCACGGTTTACATATTATCTGAAGACATTTACATGATTCACCATGCCCACACAATTAGATGAAAAATCTGTGTCTAATTTTGAAAAGTTGGAGAGACCTTCAATGCGAAATGTTGCTTATTCTGTTGCAATGGACAGACTCTTTCAGGATGTTCACCGTGGCGAACATCCTGAAGGAATTTCTCCCCTTGAAGCTGTAAATCTATATCGGGATAGTCTCTCATTACACGAAAGGAAAGAGATTTTGCGTTACGATAAAGTGAGTTCATTAAAGATCTTTTAAAATGTTTTACTTTTATTTGCAAAATTTAATGTTTCAGAACTACTTATGTAGAAAATTTTAAAGTTTCAATGCGCTGCATTTACATTATATATTTCTCTTGTTAGTCTGTTTAGTGCTTGTATTATTTTTGAAAGTCGTTTAAGTCTGTTTTTCAATCAGTTTACAGAAATGAGAAATGTTTGCGCCATTTATACCGTTTTTAAGAAATATTTAGGCCTGTATCGTAAAATTTGTTATTAGTTAGCTTGAAGTCGAAGGACACAATACAAGTAGTTATTTAACTGACAAAAAGCATGGCTACTTTTGCTTGTCACTATCAAAGTATTGGAACGTGGCTACTGTATTTCATGTTATCCGAGTCACCTTTTTGATGATGATCAACTGTCACTTTTTCACTTTTAACAAACAAAACATTTTTAATCCATATTCTAGAACATCTAAGTTATTTAATCAAAAGAGTGATTTTCGAAAACAAAAAGGTCGCGAATTAGCTAAATTAGGTTTGCTTTTACATTCATGTTTCAGTTCTTAGAATGTTTCAATTTAATTAACTCTTCTTTACTCATTTGTATATTTTATGTGTTGAGTACCATCGCGAATGCACGTGTAGGATACTTCTAGAATTCCAATTTTTTTCTTAAAAATAAGAATACTAACGCCTAATAGTAATTTAAAATATTTTTACGTGTCTAAACACTTATTACGTCACAGTGGCTGATTAATTATAGTTTACGCCTTGCCAGTTACTTAAGAAAATTTCATCCCGACCTATTAGAAGCATAGACTTTGTGACCATTCACCCGTCTTCCCAATTCATTTCTTTGTTTGTTGTATTTCTACTTTACTTACTGCTATTATTTCATCATTAGTTATTCAAATTTTCTTTAAATAATACACATTTTCTGAAGCTAGCAAATAATATTCCCATACAATCATTAGCAATATTTCATCCTTTTCACTTAATCTAAGGAGGATAATCATTTTTATTTAACGTTTTGCCTAAAGTGGTGGTTTAAACTGAACTGGGCTGAAGTTAATGTGTGGAGTTTTAAAATTTACCACATATATCTTAGATCATGATACAAATTACTTTTGGGATGTCAGTTCAATGTATGATTAAAGTATCACGGTGAAATAAATGAATAAAAGTAAAAGGCGGTATCAAGGAGTTTGAATTGATTTATTGACAAAATTCCAACAACTGAAATGGAATCAATATTTTTGGCTTTTATATACAACTAGTGGGAATGCGCACAATGTTGTTCAAATTAACATTAAACATTTATTAGTTGTTTAAAGTTATTACAGTATGTTTTTATCTGTTATTTGATGTGGAATATCTGCCGAGTGGAAGAGTTGTTATTACAGAATGTTTGTTATTTAACCTCGGTCATTTTAAGTGGCTATTTTGATATAATATCTTGTAATCTGAAAACTTCGAACGAATCTGCACGTTGACAAGTGGACACTTCAATCAAAAGTTGCTATCGTGAGGTTCTTAGCAACGTCAGCCTGACACAATATTTGCAGTATCTGTGAAAGACTGTATCTTATGTGAAATATTTTGTGTAATGTGTTCCGAAAATTCAGAACCTGAATTAACTTTAGAGACTAGTAATGTTATTTGTTGTTGAGAGATTGACAGTGATATCATGGCAGTTAGCAAAAGAATTGTATGTTGTTTTGTTGGATAAGGTGTGTTTTCCATCCTGTTTGCCTGCTTCAACTTTTGGTTGGTTGAATACTAGCGGATCCAAAAAATAATTTTAAATGATTCATCTAGAAATATATTATTTAGAAAAATACTCATGATTACTTGTGAAAACTAGAAATGCTCTTAACCCGGGAAATGTCAAATTTCAGACTAGTGGATAAGGTGAAATCATACTTTTACTAAAACGAAGACATTTTTGACATCATTTGAAGTTTTTATATCAGATAAGGTCTATGAGCGAACTGTACCTTTTAATGACACTAATTAGGAGGCATTTCTCAGTCTTCACAATTACCGGAAATTTAACCTAAAATCCACTTGTGAACAGAGGACGACTAAAAAGAGTAACTCTGGTTTTTCAGTTTGGTGTTTAAACATCTACAAATATCACTAGTTGACCTTTAAATATGCCGAAACACGAAGGTTATGCCGGTGTCGGTCTCGGTGGCACAGCGGTTAGGACTCTCGCCGACCATTCACATGGTCCGGGGTTCGATCCCCTGCCGACACACACGTGATATCAGTGGTCGGCCTGCACAATATGGGCTACCGATATCGCATGCTGAAAATTTCATACTTGTACCAATAAAATGGTGTGGAATCAAGCTATAATCAAAATATCTAAAATATTGTAATTTTTAAAATATCCAGATAGAACTCGATAACTTTCGTTAACCGTTTCTAGAAATCCTCAATGCATAGCATTCACTAATAATTTTACAACAGTTTTTTCAGCTTAATTTACCTTTACCAAAGCTACGTTTAATATAAGTGAAAATTCAGTAGGATTTATCCGTAGTAAATGTTCACAGATTTCAGTTTGGTGGGAAACACAAGAATTATTGTTGCCATACATTCATTATGCCTTTGGATTCCTATTGGAAGGTAGGACTTCACTTGCACACCTGAATTCCACTCTATCTTTTGGAATCTTGTTTCACTGGTTCCAAGACTAAACAAAAGTTTTCATTTCCTTCTCGTCATATGATCTACTACCGCATATCCAACTCATTGCTCCCGATTCGGGTTCCACTCGAGCGTCTGCATGAAGTGTCAGGTTACGGAAACGGTTGTTACGGTGTTTGCCCAATCCATCTCCATTTCCTTCTGCATATTTGTTAGTCAATAAGCCCTTGGTTGTTTCGTTGTCAAATTTCCCTGTTGTTTATCTTTTCTGGCTGGCTGGTGAAGTCTAAAGTAGTGACCTGTTGTAAATGCTTCCTGTGTGTGCGGTGCCTACCAAGTTCCTGAACTCTTCAGAAGCACTGACTGACTTGACATTAGTGTTGAATATATACGAATGTTGTCCGTTGTGCCTAGTACAGGAGAATTCTGCAGTGATTTCAAAGTATAATGAGGGTTCGTTTTGCTTTCACACTCCTGACTGACTTCAACACCCTTATCTTATACAGCATATACTTAAGAAGATACTGTCTAGGTGGTGGTAAGTAAACGAAGTGATTCGCCTCCTTGATTTCTCCTCTTGATAATGATTGATGCTTGTGGATTTTGGTTAGGTATCTTTAGCAACAAGTACCAATAGTCATCAACGAGGGGAGTCTATAAACCGCCATCTGCTTCACTTATCTAGGCAGCATCGTTTAAATAGTATAAATTGTAAGTATCTAAATTATCCTTTAGTAATTACAACTGTACATTTGTCGATATTTAAAGCATTAGTCATGGTAGGCGCTACTTAGGTGTCACCTTTATGGCGTAAACTGTCTAGAAATGAATCAATATTTTTTTTGACTGGATATTTAAATGAAGAAAATTTACTGTCTTATTTTTTCGTTTCTGTAAAACATGAAGTAGTTGGTCATGTTTTTTATTTTTAAGTAATGTTACTCGTGTGCGTCGGTAGCTCAATGGTAAGATGGTCGTCAACGACGCCAGTATTCGCGTTTCAATTCTCAGTCTACCCACTCGTAAATGTCGCCTGGTTTACTAGCCGATAGCATCATTGTGTTTCAGTGTTTCTGCAATTTGTATTTCGTTTAAAAAATTAGAATTTAGGTTTCTATAGATTTTATCACCAGTCATTTGTCAAAAAGTAGATTAATACACTTGTACTTGACAGGAGTTAAAAGATTCTGTAAATCAAAACTCTTTTTCCACTGTGTTTTATCATTTATAACGGAATGACAGAATTTTCTGTTGTTGTCAGAGACCACTTATATATACTGACTAAAGAATGATTAAATGTGACTTAAAGCTTGTGTACTGGAAACGCCTTAGAAGTTGTGTAGACGTCATCAAGAGGTAAAGGCAGGACCTTCAAGCTCTTGAATTCTAACTTCTGTTAATTCTCAATATCTCTCTGCCACCCGGCTTCGCAGTGCGTTGGTTATTCAGTGGTACAACATTGGCCAACTACACAGGTAGGTGGTTCGAGGTCCAATCTCAGGTCAACGCTCAGCTTTACCTCGTTCAGTCGGTAGTAAGCCCGGTGAAGAAGGAAGGTTGGCCGTAAGGCTGGTAACCACTTCCTAGGCACAGAACACCACTGCTACTAAAACTTCAGAGTTCTGGCTTGAAGCCCTAGGCTCCACTAAGAACGCAAAGGAATAAATAAAGTGGCGCTGCTGCCAGACGGTACCATCGATTTACAGATACAGTGAACCCCACAGATCTTGATGGGAGGCTGCTTAGCTTTCGATGATTTTTCAGTGAATGTCAGTTAGCCACAAAATTAATTGAAAATATCTTTTATTTAAAAAATAAATACAAAATTTGAATAACAGGATGTAACAAGTGAACATTCCATTAAAGTGTTCAATAATATATGTGCCATGTGTAAATAATGATAATAATATTTTTATTATTATTTAGTGGTCATTTGTTTTCAAGTCCTTAAAAACGAAAACATTCTGTTTTCTCAGGTCATTTCATAAATCACAAACTGATAATAGTGATAATGGTGGTGATAATATTATCTTTACTTCAAATAATAATATTTTTTGACACAGTGTAGAATTATCACAGCATATAGTACAATATTGTGGCAGACCTTCATCAATCCGAAATCAATTTAGAAATCTTCTGCACTCCACCAACAACATAATTCGGATTTTTAACACCAATATTAAATCAGTCAGTCAGTCCTTCTATATGGGTCAAAAACTTGAACTGCGCATGCTTCACGAAAAGCATTTTCAACAGCTTCCCACCTTCTATGGCTCCATATTGAAGATTAAATGGCCAGCCGGCCAGAAAGAATTAGCAACATGAAACTGTCGAAATGAATCAGTCGAGAACCTAT